AACAGGTTTTTTTTAAACGTGACTCGCGAATAATAATAGCAAAACCAGTTGTATAATCTACATAACAAATTGAATTAATATAATTTCCGAATATCCAAATAAGGGCATTGATTCTTAATTTGCCTATCAATTATTTCCGCAGGAAACAATATTTAGTTGTTTCCAATGTCAAAGTGCGTGGGATAAGACCTCGGATTGACCTATAAAAATGCTAGTAAGTGTACAAAATATAACACATCTGATAACGGAACATATCGTATAACATAGTAAAAATGAACTCAATAGTTTTTGTAGTCGTACTTGCGAGTCTGTGCCAAGCCACTAAAGGTTATAATTAAGTTTTTTCGTGTGTTATTAATGTTTCTACTTTCGATACTCTGTGCTGATTGGTTGATATCGAAATATTATTTTCATTAATATAAGTTCCGTTATATTGTTAAACGATTATTAATATAATTATGTTCACGTCCTTGATTTTTTTGGAACTTCTTTTGATAGTAAAAGTAGTTCTAGTTACAATTACAATTTAGTTAGTGTTTTAAATAAAGACGGAATAGACTTTTTTTTAAAATTTGTTTAACATTTAAAGCCAATATGTTTAATGTATCTATGACCAATTTATATTCTTAGCCATTTGTATATTATGTTTTAGATTATAAGAATTTCCGCTTCAGTCTATGCTTCGCCTTTATACTTTTCTAATTTGACGTTAACTAGAATCTTAATAACTATACTACAATAAACCTAAATGAACTTTATTTTATTTCAGAAACTGAAGAGATTGCTCACACGAGAGTACCACGCACGTTATTGTTGAAAAAGAAGCTTTGTTTTGTACTAGGACTTTGCGGAGGTGGAGGCGGGCAGCATGGCGGAGGTGGACACTATAACGGAGGTTATGGCTACCAGAACCAACAAGGAGGTTATCCTCCAATAAACATCGGCATCAGCCAATCACAATCATCAGCAAATGCAGGCGGTGGAGGTTTAGGTACTGGTTATTACCCAAATAATTACCAATACAATGGAGGTTACCCAAACCGTGGTGGTTATGATTCTTATGGGAGACCAGGTTACTTTGGTAATGGTTACGGTGCTAACAATAACCAGTTTAATGGCAACTATTATGGAGGTGATAGATATCCCAATGGTGGTTATGGTTACCGAGGATCTTTTGGTAATTATTACGATGAAGGTGAAGATACTAAACCAATATATGAAGATACCAATGAGAATGGACCGAATTACAATGGATATGGACGTGATGAAGGATATAGAAGTAATCAATAGAATATAATTATTAATATTGATTCTATTAACTCGATCTGTGATAATAATTTGACTTGAAAGTGTAATGTTCGATGCAATGAAATTGGTATATCTACGATTAACGAATAAATATTAGAAATTATTTCAATGTTTTTTATTTTTAACATGTTTGTTACAAGAAAATCTTGGAAATTAATTTTAGGAACGATTCCTGCCGCCGAGTTCCGTCATCGGACGACACGACAGACCGCCAGGTTCCATCCACAACACCTGGATGGCTGGCATTCCACAACGGTGCGATTCTCGCCTGGCATAGCCGCGTTGTGGAACGGTCTGTCCTCGGCGGTATTTCCAAACCAATACGACTTAGGGACCTTCAAGAAGCGAGCATACCATTTCCTTAAACGCCGGCAACGCATTTCCTCTGGTGTTGCAGATGTCCATGTGTTGATCACCTCGGTGTTCCCGCCGCTCGTTTGCCCCCTTCTCTTATAAAAAAAAAATTAGTTGTCACCTATAAATATTTTTGAATTTAACGATCAAAAATAGTGTAAAGCTATAAATATATAACGATTTTATTGCCTTTTATTTTGATATATTTATGATTATAACTTAGGCGTGTCATGCCTAGCTCATAGTTATAAAATTTTTGAATCCATTGTTATATTTTGTGTTCTTCTGTTTTCTTTGTCTTGAAACAAACATAAATTAAAAATTTTAATAAATGCAAATCTTTTAAATGACAAATAAATTTTGTTAATTCCGTTTGATATTTTTCTTATATACAATTCTTTTTTATTATTTATATTTTGATGAAATTTCTAATGATGAAATATGAAGATGCCTTGTCAAAACATATATTTTATTATAACAGATTTTATGAAAGATAGCGGTTACTATCGTCAATATAATCATGTAAAATGTATCACAGTTCTATGACCTTATTCAATTCGTTTTATATCTCACAGCATAACTATACTCGTAAATAACAATAAAATAAAAACTGGATCAAAACTTGAATTATAGAAATTCAAACTAATGAGAGCTTTAAAAAACTTAATGACATAATTAATTTAATTTTATTAAGAAATCTATCGAACGGTATCTGACATTATTTTTCGGTACATATATTTTTTTTAATATGCACAGTTTTTATAATATGCTTAAATTGCCGTTTCACAGATTTTTCATATTTATTATTATTATTATTATATTCAGCCTAAACTTGTCAACTGCTGGACGTAGGCCTCCCCCATCGATTGCCACAATGCCCGGTCCTGTGCCGCCCGCATCCAGTGCACTCCCGCAACCTTGACCAGGTCATCGGTCCATCGTGCGGGAGGCCTACCTACGCTGCGTCGACCCGTCCGCGGCCGCCACTCAAAGACTTTTCGGCCCCATCGGCCGTCCGTTCTTTTCATATACCACTGTAATTCATTTATTACCGAAAAATAAAGGTCTACCCCACTTGATAATACGAATATAATGCAACATCGGCTTTGAATAACCAGATCGAACTCATCATGACCTTTCTCTTACAATGTAGTAAATTAATTTATAAAAGACTAATTAAAGACACCGTAAGAATATAAGTAATAAGGTAGTAACACCTTACTACCTCACCTCTACTCACCTAACACCTGACAGTGTCACTGAATCGAATGTAAATCCTGTGCCGATGTACTGGCACAACACTAGCCTTACTAAAATGTCGACGTTTATGTCCCCTCACTAATGATTCTAACACTTGACTTTGTAATGAAAGCGCGTTATTCGCGCCAAAGGATTCTAATTAATAATGTCTAAATCTACCAATTAACAAGAACTTAAAGTTTTATGTTATTTATTTTATGTATTATTTATTACTAAAATGTCGAGTTTTTTGTATTTATTTAAAAAATAAATATTTAATTGTTTTTCATTTTTCAGAAGTAAAAACAGTAATGCTATTATAATAAACTTACGCGCGTACCCTATGTGATTGAAAGGGAAATGATGATCGCCAAGTAATTCAGTTTTTTGGTTTATAACGCTTAACCATTTCGTTGTATTATAATTTAAGAAAAGTTTTTACTAGAGGGTGATGTTGAACGATATAGGCGCATGCTTAATTTGAATTAATGGATTTCTCAGTGGATTAGTGCTCGGATTGTTAGGATATATTTATTCAAACTCTTTTTAAATGAAAGGCTTATTTTTTTTAAATTATGTTGATTAATTATAAAACATTCTGTATAACAGATGTAAAATCTAAGAATTTTATCACAAAACACTATTAATAACTCTAAATAATCGAAAACCTACCGGAATTTTTGAAACTTTTGAGCTATTATTTTAGATTACTATTAAAACACATTAATCTATTCATTCGGGTAATATGTTGAGAAAGGACGATGTGGCCAATTAATAATTTAATGGATTTATCGAGAAATTTATGATATCAGAGCATCGCGATATTAAATTAATTTACCGTAACTTTTGCGATAATGTTATGGGTGTCAACGTCTTCTCGTCATTATCTATGACCCAGTCGAGATGAAGCAGTGGGGAGATCATTTTGTAGTATATATACACGGAGATATGATTCACGGACATCCACTACCGGTACAACGGAAGGAGATACTCGTCCTTGCAACAGACATTATGGCAAAGTTTATCGTCCTAGTAGCGGCGCTCGCGGCCTGCCATGCAGCGCCTGTTGAAATCGGTAAGTGCAATATAAAGCTATTAAAAATAAATAAATAACAGTTGAAAAAAGTAGTTTAAAAAACAACGTACTCTCCGCAGATAGAGCTTACTACAGCTGCAATATTTAACGATCCTAATTTTTGCTTCTAGTCGAACTTCCCGAGGGTGTATTCCGTGTGGGCCGGTCTCCGGGTGTAGCCTGGAGCTTCGGCAGCGGTTTTGCCAGCGACATCGGAGGTGTCCGGCACGCGTCCGGACAGTCCAGCTCCTTCCAGAGCGGGGACGCGCAAGCATACGGCTCCGGCTTTGCTAACGCTAACAACAACTACGCCAGCGGCACTGCTTTCGCGCAGGCACCACAGGCAATCCAGTACCCGACCGTTCAACACACTGTAGTACGACAACCAGCCCATCAAAACAATATTCTGGTGCAACCCGTGCCACTCGTCCAATACAGTGTGGTGAAGCAACCGGCACAGCAACATAATGTAGTCCAGCATCCCGTCAGCCATCAACACGCCACCATAGCTCATCACCAACCCGCCCAAGTAGCTGTTACAGTGCCGAAAAAACCTAGCAAACCTATCAACCACAACTTCAACAACTTTGGATCGGCGAGCTCCTCGGCAGCTGCCAACTCTTACAACGGATTCGGTTCTGCCACTTCCAATGTTTACAACAACGGCTACAACCAGTATCAGAACGCGGCAGCTTCGGCACAGAACTACAACGGCCTAGGCTACGAGTCCGCGGTGGCGTCTGCCAACTCTAACGGATTCGGTCATGGATCAGCTGTATCCTCGGCTCAGAACATCGGTAACCAGGGAACCGCCGTATCGTCTGCACAAACCCTCGACAGATTTAACAACTTTCAAGCTTCGGTCGCGGCCGCGGAGAACTACGGCAACTACCAGGCAAGCACCGCACAGACCATCAAGCAGAGAGGCAGCCAGGTGCAGCAGAGCATCGCCAGCAGTGTGAACGCTCCAGGCTTCCAAGCAGCCAATGCCAACGCCTACAATACTGGCTTCTATTAAACCTCTTAAATTATAATAATTTATTTTAATATTTATTACAATTAATTTAATTCAAATTCGCATTGCATTTTTTATTTATAGAAATTGAAATTAAAGGGAGTCTATGAAAATACTTTATTTTTATTTCCAAATCTTCAAAAATTATTTATTTTAATTTTGCCAATTTTATGGCATTCAAATAGCACAAATGCCCTATGCCTACTCTATCTTCTGTTAATAATAATTTCAGTACTGTAAAATTTAATATTACTTATCGTTAGTTCTCTAATCCGACCCTTTAGGATAAGTAAATATGCGTTGCCTATATGCATTTCCAAAAAGTAATCTATCTCTGTGCTAATCCAGAGCAGCTTAACTGTTTTGGAATTAACTATCTACTAACAAACATCCATCCATCTGTACTTTCGCATAAATATTATTAATAATAAGAATATAAAATGAGACAAACATCAAATTTTTGATCACGTATAATTTCAAATTAGTTGGGAGGGTCAGCCACAAGTTAGCGTAAATTCTAAAGTTATTTCCACAGAATAATATTTATGTCCTCAAAATCTGGGACTTGAGGAACGAAGTATGAATGTTATATCAAATAGCTTGCATTTTGTAATTTATCTTACGCGGTCGCTTGTATCAAAGTGAGGCTTCGGTATGCAAAGAATGAATTATCATTTTCGCCTCGAGCGTTTGAAAGATTTATTACTTAGAAGTAAGAGAACATAATTTGTTGAGACTATACTACATTAAACAAATTGCCTTTATTAAATTAAACGATGTTTTTTCTTATCTGGAAGCTTTGGGATCAAATAACTTGAATATAGTTTTTGGTAATAGCAAAAATTTGGAACTAAATCCACATTCGTCATCAGCTCACTATACGTCCCCACCGAGGGGCTCGGAGCTTACCCTAAGTTAGGGTGATTAGGCCATAGTCAACCACGCTGGCCAAATGCGGGTTGGTTCACACATATCCTTGAATTTCTTCTCAGATATGTGCAGGTTGCATCACGATATTTTCCTTCACCGTAAGAACGTCGGATAAATGTACATATGTAAATCGGAAATCGAAAACCACATTGGTACATGACGAGATTCGAACCCAGAACCTGCAGATTGCAAGTCAAATGCTTGACCACTGAGCCACCGACGCTCCACATACAATTATAATAAATCCTATTTAATTCCCTAGGTATTCTCAACTAATGCAGGAATAATTAATATTTTAAATATATAGAGTAATTAAAAATCTAAAAATCAATCAAAATTCTAATGTTTAATTGTCGTTTTTGCTTTTTTTTCGTTGTATCTGTTTTTATTACTCCTTACCCTACCTCGTGCTGTGCAAATGGTGTGAAAACAAAGGGGCCAGCTGAAAACCAGCGCATTGGTCAAGCCCTCCCTGCACCAGCTGAGCTGGCCACCTTTTTTTTTGCCACATCCTCAATTTATTTAATTTAACTTGTTTTTTGTAGTTTTTTTTTCGTTGATTGTGGCAATAAATAAATATTATTATTTTGCTCTTATTATGTTAAATATCGCTAAGCGAAAACAGCTTTTTACTGCATTTCATTCTAATTATAAATTCCCTATGTTATTCTGTTCATATTCCGATTGAAATCATATACATTAATTAGTCAAACGACATCTCAATTATAAGATCCTTATCTAAAATACTGGAAGAATTCATTTTATTTAACGTTATTTAATTAGCATAAAACATCTTTAAATACATATAAAGGGTATCGAAGTTATAACTTCATACATCTAATTGGAAATGTTTTGTGAAGATGGTAGATATTTGTCAACAATCCATTTGATTATTTAATTTAAGATTACCTAATTATTTAAATACATATAATAGAATAATTAAATGGTAAATGACCTTAATTGATTATTTATTTAATGTAATTAACTAGAAATATATAAATTAATAGTAACATACTATATTAGTGACTACAACTTTTTAATTTGTAAAAGCGATAGATACAGGTTGATAAGTAAAAAGGTTATAACTGTTCCTAAAGTCAGTCCTACACAGTATGCTATAAATATTTGTATTACAAAGATATAAATTAAAATAGCTGTTTATTCTTTTACTTATTAATTTATTGTAACTTAACCATAATTAATGCACCAGTTTTGTAAACATAACAGACTTGACGTCCGTGCGGAATTAAAAAAAAAACTAAATAAGTAGCCTATGTGTTCTTCCAGAATATGTTCTATGTCTGTGCTAAATTTGATCTAGTACCATTCAGCCCTTCCGGAGATATCTTCTAACATAAATCCATCCATCCATCCATATAAACTTTTGCGTTTACAATATTACTAAGATTAACTCTTCAATCCGAATATATTTAAATTCATTTTATGCTCTCCGTGTATTACAGACCTTAACCTATAAACGAAAAGTTGTTATTTAAGATGAGGATATAAAGAGAGAGATCGTGTGACCCGCTTGCATTTTAAGTTAGGCTAGACAAGATGTCTATCATTCTTTATCCTTGTTTAATTATTACTTTTACGACAATAACTTGCAAAGGTAACATTTCTTTAACAAAAGGGATCAATGTATAACCAAAAAAATTACAATTAAGTACATACTGTTAACGCTCGCGACTTCGTTCGCATGGAATAAAAAAAAACATATTCAGTAGCCTATGTGTCCTTCTAATCAGACTATGTTCTACATCCATGCCAAATTTCATCGAGATCCATTCAGCCGTGCTGGTAATACCTTCAAACCATCCATCCATTTAAACATTCGTATTTATAATATTAGTAAGATCTAAAAAATTGGTTGTTTAATTTTCAGGTGCCGTTACAAATATATCAGGTGTTGGATATCAAGGATACGTGACAATCCAAAATGATAACGGTATTGGCGTTAGCGTAGTTGGTCATACTTCCAATGGTCAAACCCCATTCAGTGATTTAAACTTTTACACTCCTCCTGGAATGACTGTAAAGAAAAATGGAGACACAATGATGTACACATATCCTATAAATAACAACAGAGGCATAGCAACCGGTTCTATCCAGATGAAACCAGGATCTATATCAGTTTCTTCATCTACTTATACCAAATCACCAACATTTTATTGGCCAAACATTCCAAGATTGGATCCAATAATGCCAATGTTTAACAATTTCATCTTTCCTCCAATTAATTATCGACCACCGAATGTAGAACCTTGGTTTGCTAGGAATATGATAAATAGCTTGAACCCGTTAAAACCGGTTTTGAAAAATCCTTTTATGCAACAAAATTTAGATCAGCTTTTAAACGTGTGGTAATAAATTACGAGGCGTACATTAAATTATCACGATTAACCGTGGGCTTCTGATACTTAAAACTATATCTAGCATTCCTGTCTTTCAACATTGACAAAACGCAGATAAAAATATGATTTAAGCGGAGATTTTGGTCTCCGAAACCCACAGTTAGCTGACAAGATATATCAGTAAGACACAATTCATAAAAATTTATGAGTTTTTAGTTTTTTTTTCTTCAAGAAGTTTCTAGAAATACAGATAATATGATAAGATTTTAATTATTCGTTCGTTGACCCCAAAGAAGCATTTTCAACTATGCAAAATGTTTGGTTATCTAGTTAATTAATATAATAAATTATTAAAGAAATTCCTATTAGTGTCATGATTAAAACAAATCAGTATAATTTTATATTTAAGATTAATTTAAATTTATTTCAAAGTCAATTTATTATATTTTAGTACAGATAAAACAAAAACAATGTCATGTAATTAATGTGATTTAAATATTAAGTTAAACTTTAGTAATTGCGAATAAAGTTTAATTTTCAGACAAGGATTTTTTATTTCCAACTGTTTTTCTTCCTTTTACACTTTACAATAACAAACCACTTCTCCGATTGCTAAAAGTGTTAACTGCGCAATTTGAAGTAACGCAGCAGTACATACTAGTAAGTACAACAAATATTCGATAAAGTAAACTGTAGGTATTATAATAAATTAATATCACTATCTCACATAACTTCTAGAATTAAAAAAAAATACATAAGCTATGAATATATCAGCATAAACCGTTTAGCAGATATTCTGGCTACGAGAAACCAAATCTTACTAACCAAACAATGGCTGTTTGCTTTCGCGATGTTTGTTACTGACTTAAAAACAGGCTTAATTATAAAAAAAATTACCAGTATCAGATATATTCGTCGTGTGATAATGGTGACATAGCCCCCACTAACTTACCGCTGTGCCCTGTGATGGAGCAATAAGGAATCGCAACCAAACGGCGCGGCGTCAACATTCACCACGGCTCTATAGTTATGCAACCGTTGCCCAGAGTTATTCTCATAAAAATATTTGCTCCAAGTCTTAAATAATAAAAGTACTTAATCAAAAAGGTAATCCTTTCTTTTGTACTCTACGACCTGCTATGCGCACATAATTAACTAAGTAATTGTAAGAAATCAATTATGTAATAAAGCTTTGTAGTAGTCTAATTAATATATCTTACTTCTTACTAAATATTATACATGCGAATGTTTGGATGTATGTATGGATGGATAGATGGTCACCCCTAACTTAGGGTACGAGCCCCTCAGTGGGGACGTATAGCTGATGATTAAATGGATGGACAGATGTTTGTTAGAAGATAGCTACAGTACTGCTACTGCATAGTCTGGATGAACACATAGGCTACTAATTATTTATTTTTTAATTCCGCGCGGACAGACTCGGAAAAAAGCTAGTCCAACTTATATGTCAATTACTATTATTGATCTGGTTACAAAGTTGTTACAGAATAACCCTACCAACTAACATGCACCGATAGACGTTCGAAAGCGCAGTTTCTGTCCGTCTGTCACGATGCGTGCCATAATACTCTTGTCGCTCTTTATCATATCTATCTCCTTTGTCAAAACTGCACCACAATCAAAACTACAAGTAAACCCAGGTGAGAAACATTCCTACTTTCATTATTTAAAGTTTTAAGTTCAATAGATTGCTAGCGCCAGGTAATTTCCATTAATTGTTGATAAATCGGATCTTGAGCGTACTTGCTTTATTCTTATTTTAATGTTTAAATGCAACAAAGAACAACATTCTGCGCATTAATTGATTCGCTCGCATTTTACGTCCCTTTTTAGAATTATAGTACATTGATGGCAATGATCCAACAAATACTTTGATAACGCGTGTTTTGTATCATTTTGTGTGTTTGATTTGAATTCGAGTATCGAATCTAAAAGAATAAAATTATATGGTTGTAAGCAAACACTGGCTTTCGAGAAAATTATTAACGTTTACGAAAAAAAAAATGATAATTTTATAAAATCGTAGTATTTTTTTCATTTGATTGTATGATGATATATACGACTATCCTAAGTGCAATTCAGGCTACGCATATACAACATAATAAGGTCTAATTCCATCTTTAGAGAACCTGTTCCGCTACATTACACATTAATCGCACTATTATTGTTTACAGAAATAGATCAAAATTGTTTTTAAACAAAAACAGGCCAGTCAAGTGCGCACTAAAGCCCTTTTTATTTACATATTTATTCAAAGAGGCCAACTTATCAAGGGCGTATTACAAGTAGTGAATTAAATTCTTTTGTTATGCCATTTATTTGTTTATTTTTTTTAACCTGTAGCATGACTCAGCATGTTTTATTTATGAGTAATTGTTTTTGAAGAAAAATATTGTTACGTTGGTGAAAGAAAGAGTGAAACATCTTACTCTTAATAATATTGTAAACTAGCTGTCGCCCGCGACTTCGTCCGCGTGGATATATTAAAAAAACGTAATATATAGATAAGTTAAATAAAAAGCAGCTCTTTAAGGCAAAAACTCGAAAAAATAATAATAATACTATATCCGTCTCCTGGCTCTAAGCTAACTCCTCACCAATTTTCAACCATATCGGTAAAGCCGTTCTTGAGTTATAAATAGTGTAACTAACACGACTTTCTTTTATATATATAGATGAGAAAGGCTGAACAGATCTCTATGGAATTTGGCATAGATGTAGAACATAGTCTGCATAGACACATAGGCTACGTATTAACTTATTTAATTCAGCGGCCAGAATCGCTGGCGACAGTTGGTTGTATAATGATACTTGAATTATAACTTGAAAAATAAGATTTGTCGACTAACCAAACTTCCATCAATGTCTATAGCTAGGAGCGTCAGTGGCTCAGTGGGCAAGCACTTGACTTGCAATCTGCAGGTCCTGGGTTCGAATCCCGCCATGTACCAATGTGTTTTTCGATTTCCGATTTACATATGTACATTTATTCGACGTTCTTACGGTGAAGGAAAACATCGTGATGCAACCTGTACATATCTGAGAAGAAATTCAAAGATATGTGTGAAGTCAACTTCACTTCACCCTTAACTGAGGGTAGGCTCCGAGCCCCTCGGTGGAGACGTATAGTGAGCTGATGATGAATGTCTATGAACGAAAGCAAATGTATTGATCTATTAGATCTTAGTATTATTTATAACCAGTTTTTTTTTAATTAAGTCATACCCATTTCTCTAAATGCTAACAATATATTTACCAATGGCTTTAAAGATTTTAATGAATGACACGTAGTTAGGGCAGGAATTTAAATTAGTTTTATATTTATGTTTAATTCTCCGTATTAAAATACAATCAATCACATTTAAACTATAGAGTAAAGTTTTTTTTATTTTAATTAACAAAATTAATTTTTATTTTTATTACCGTTGGTTACAAAGTGAAAGAACAACATTAAAAAATATAACAAGACTAACTGTCGTCCGCGATTCCATTCGCACGAAGTTACAGACTATGTTCTACATCTATGCCAAATTTCAGTCAGACCCGTTGAGCCGTTCCGGAGATACATTCTAACAAACATCCATCCATCCATCCAAACATTCGCTTTTATAATATTACTAAGAGAGTAAGATTAACAAAAGCTGTACTTATCAATATTAAAAAAGAAAAATGTCATAACTAATTAAAAAGATGTAGTAAAGAAATTATATCGTACTTCGTTAGGATTGCAATGAACGTCGAAAGATAAAATTTATAATGACTTATTCAATTATGCCAAAGGACGTCATAGAACCCGTTGACCATCACATATAGGATGTTTTTAACGTGACATACCTTTCAGATGTAGAAGGCAAGCCGTTCGTCGAGGAGGTGTTGGTGGAGTCAATGCTGCATGTAAGGAGTCCATCACTGGGTCGCAGTTCCCGCACCAACACAAACACTAACCTACAAGACGGCACCAGAGTCACCGAGAACAAGATTTAATATGTCTTATATATTGTAATAATTGTTAAAAAATTATCATTTAAAGAAAACCAAAATTGTAATGGAGGCTATTTTATGAATTCGATATATGTTATGCATATTTGTAATAAATATTTATAAAAACGTATGTGTATTTATTGCTATAGTATAGATTGACAATACATTCTACGATTTGTGTTGTATTTATATGAAATAAAGAATAATCCACTGCCTGTGGGCATTCATTATCAGCCCTTACGTAGAAAGACACGGGGAATACCTATTTAATTATTGACGATTTAATTAAAAGTAACAACTACTAATTAAAAATATAATTACACATTATAAATTAAGCATCAATGCCTAATTCTATTGTTTATTGACTAGCTGTCGTCCGCGACTCAGTCTGCGTGGATATAAAAAACCTTAGTAGCCTTTGTGTTCTGCCAGTCTATATTCTACATCTGTGCCAAATTCAATCGAGATCCGTTAAATGGTTTTGGAGAAACATAGCAACAAACATCCATCTAAACATCAAAACTTACGAATTTATAATAGTAGTAAGGTAATAGTAAGAAGTAGAAAAAAAAACAAAAGTAAGATTTACTAGTCATACAGTGGTTGTGTACATTTCCTAGTCGTTCCATTACAATAATTCCGTACAGACACTCGACACGTGTCGGAGTATCTACAAAAAGTCGATAGCGAGTTAGCGTGTATTGTTTACACGTGAAAAGCATTCCAATATGGACAGGGACGTATTAGCATTGTTTGACGCCCGCTCGCGCCCGTCTTACGTATGCTAAAATATCGAAAAGCCTTAAGATATTCCGTCAAAGAATGCTCCCGTCGGTGTATATCATAGATTAAAAAAGTGCTAAATCCAGTAATGATATTCATAGACCGCGACGCGCGCTGCTCCGCCAATGAGATGTGGACGCCGCGCGAATAAAACAAAACTCTGTGCGTACTGCGCGTATACAGGGTGATTTGAAGTTGACTTGCAATTGGAAATACTGAGACGATAAAAAACTATCACCAATTATAATAACCATAAAATAATTCTTGGTGCAATATAGGGAACTGTTTTAATATATAGGATGTTTTGTAAGAATATATACCCTTCAGCTTCTATCGTCTCTTTATTTTTTTTAATTCAAGCACATTGCATATAATTACAGCTGATATACGTAGACGGTATAAATAGAACTTCAAGATATAAAAATGTCATAAATTTTGTATGCAGTTTTATTCCACGTGCGTCAATAGTTGTGAAATCAAACACGCTGTATAAATTACCAGAATTATGTTGTATTTGAATACAATCATTGTGAGCGGCGAAGCAGCGTGTAGGCAGCGGCGAGCACCGAGCAACGCCGCACCACACCGTTAGCGCGCGCCATCAATGATTACTTATTTCATACGTATGCTTAGAATACGGTTACAGCTTCGCAGAATATTGGATTTTAATGCGCGGGACGTCATCATTCGGCTGTCATGTAGATTTCCTTCAATCCATCATACCTTCTTACCGTAAAACGAATTTGCCGGCGGCCAACTTAAAAACATAACTTGTAGCTTTTACATTGACGGATTTAAGCATTCTCAGTACATGTTGTAAGCTTATGTTAGTATAAAATCACTGTATGGTAATAGGAAAGATTTCTAGCGATTTGAATGTACAACAAGCAAGGGCCTATTGAAGTATTTGTTTTTAAACAATAATTTACGTAGGGCCTTGATGGGAAGGACGAAACAAAGACGTAATAAACTTTATCGTAGGACAAATTTAAATGTTTTAGTTAATTTGTAAGCTAAGTAAATTATCCGTAACACGCTTTACATAACTTAGATATTAAACACCTGCGTATTTTTTTAACTAACCAAAAAGTTTTGAATACATAAAAAATTAATGAAATATTCATTTAATTGGTCGTTCCGTACTGCCTTTGTCTTTAACGATTTATTCAACATAACCTATATCGAGTTCTATTTTTTTTTTTTTAAATAGTATTCAGCATCGACCTCGGATAAGATTTACAATATGTCATTGCATTATTTGCAGTTTCACAAGTTGAATTAATTTCGTTGTTGAATGCGAATGATACTGCGAATTTAATTCGCATCTTAACGACAATGTTTTTAAATCAATTAAATTAACATCGCTAATAATATAGATTATATATTTATAATTCTGCCAAACATTCAGGCTGTAGTACTATGAGTTAGTTTCTATTTTTATCTGTGAAAAATTTTGTTGTCTATGGCGGGGTATTTCCGTAGTCGTATTTGTATCTGGAATCACACCCTGAGAATAATCGGTAATCGATGACATAATCGGCCGAATTGGGACCGAGACATTTGCGTCATGATGATTATAAAAGTACAAGTACCAGACACACGGTGACACATAACCTTCTTAAACTTATTATCAAATCTTAATAAATAAAAGTACTATTGAAAAAAAAACATAAAAAAAATGTTTTTTTTAAATTAACAATACTTCTTACTCTAATATTATTAATGCGAATTTTTAGGTGGATGCATGGATGTTTGTTTGAATGTATCTTCAGATCGACTGCACGGATCTTGACGTAATTTGGCAAAGACGTAGAACACATTCTAGAAGAACACATAGGCTACTAATTATGTTTATTTTTAACTGCGCGCGGACGGAGTCACGGGCGACAGCTAGTTAATAAAATAACTAATTTTCTGTTGTTTCTTCTTTTAGTTTAGTTCGATTGTAATAAAAATACATCCTTAAACTCCTTCGCCATCCTTCACCTGTCCACCATATAACTTAGCCTGAAACACGTGCTCTATTGTTACCTATCGTTCGTCCCTTTCTAACATATGTATATACAATAGCACTAAAAGAAGAAGGCAATATCTTCATTTAAATTCAATAGAATTAATTACGCTAGATTTTGTATCATTTAAAGTCCATCGACTTTCAAATGACTTTGCGCATATCCTAGTCAGACTATTTTTGACAATGAAATAAAGTCAATCAGTTTGTTGAAGCCAGTTCACTTTTGTTTGGCGTTTAAATTTATTTTTTAAGTATATGCTTTTGTATTAATATTTATGACACATTTATACACTTTTTTCAGTAAATAAATGAAACAAAATTTTGTGCTAAAAAAGGGAAACGCAATGTTCAGCGGAAATTGCATCTTACTAACATTACTAATATTATAAATGCGAATGTTTAGATGGATGGATGTTTGTTAGAAGGTATCTGCGGAACGGCTGCATAGATTTCGGTGAAATTTGGCATAGATGTATAATAAAGTCTGGAAAAACACAGTTTGCTAAATGTGTTTTTTTTTTACTTCCGCGCGGATGGAATCGCGAGCGACAGCTTGTATAAGTATATTTCTTGTATGTGTTTGTGGACAAGCTGTCGCCCGCGACATCGTCCACGCGCTTTCAAACAAACTTAATTAATAGGCTATGTGTTCTTCCAGACTATGTTCTTCATGCCAAATTTCATTTTTTCTGGAGAAACCTTCTAACATATTATACATCCATCCAAAAATTTGGATTTATAATATTAGTAAGATAATACCTAATAAGCTACGACGCATTATTTTATTTTAATAATGTAAATTCCATCGGAATCTGCTTTTTGTAAATCGAATACGAACAAAATCGAACTATGTATTTGCATACGCGTGTTTATCGTATTAATTAAATTGTAAGCAATGTTCACGTGGATAATTGTCGCCGGGTACGTACGCAAAATAACAAAATAATGCAAATTTTTGCCGATATCATATCGCCTATACTTCACAATAGGCCTCAGCTTTTAAAACTAAAGACCTTAAGACCTCCTTTATAAAATCGGCGCAACATCTTTTACGTAAACATGACCGTATTTTTTAAAACCACCAAACGTTATACAAAATTTTATTAATAAGCAAGAACTATATAATATAATAACTATACAAAAACTATATAAGAACTATTATTCACATTAAAAAAACTTTTTTTTTTACTGTAGCAAGATAATTTATTCATTTCCTTTGTCGGTAAACTTTACCGTTGTATTACAAGATTGATTTATAAAGTCGTATAAAAATTCGACATTTCGCATTTTTATGACCACTTTCCTTCCATTAAAATTAAATCACCATTTGATATAGAATAATAAATTAAAAAAAAAAAATATATATATATATATATTTTTAAAACATTAGCAGATTTTTTTGTAAATTTAGCAATATTTCTTTTATCATTCCAACTAAGCTAGGCTTGTGCTAGGATATGGTTTACGACAATAGTCGAATGGCGGGATTCGAACCCCCGACCTCGTGGTCGGAAATCCATACCCTTAAGCATTAGGCTATTGACGCTTTTAAATAATAATTAAAGCGTATTTTTAGGTTATGTTTATATAAAGCTTCTTTTATAATACGTTCGTTTTAAGCAAAAATTACCCTAATATAAATATGAGGTTTATATATATTGTTAGGAAGAAAATCCGACACTGTGCCGGTGTACTGTCCAACACTAGCCTTACTAAGATGTCGACGTTTATGTCCCCTCACTAATCATTCTGACACTGGACTTTGTGACAAAAGCGCGCCATTCTCGCCAAAGCATTTGGATTAATAATGTCTAAAAATATGTAGCAGATTCTTTATCTATTCCTATAATATTAACAGGTAAAAAAATAAAATAAAGGGTGTAATCTTTTTCCTGTAATCTTTGAAGGGAGTAAAAAGATATGCAAAATAAACGCATTCGTAACACGTAGTGGAGACGACTGACATAGGTTAATGAGGTTGCATGTTGCTTGTACGTGATTATTATTATCTCATCGGATATCCTTTGTCTTCCTTACAAAAGGATTCGATAGCACGTGATCGATCTAGAATCGGTAAATAATATCGATTGTGAATCGTGAATTTAGACACGTATCCCACTCGCCCGATGTTAACAATACAAAGAACAGGAAAATGTCCGATTCGTCTACGCTAAAGACTACTGACGTTCGTACGCACATTTGTATTCTTATATGTATATATTTTTTTGTTTAACGACCG